AGAGGCCAGGGATGCCTGCCTACAATGCACAGGACATTCCTATAAAAAAAAATTGTCCTATCCAGTTCAAAATGTCAATAGTGCCAAGACTGCAAAACCCTACCCTAAAATAGTTTGGTTCTGCACTTTAACATACAATATAAAGTGAGTTGCAAGCTTTTCTTTTGCAACTTACTTTATTTGCTTAACATTAACTTTCTCTTCTATACAGTAGTACACTATACAAATTCATACAAGTTATCCATTCTCCTGTTAACGTACATTTAAGTTTTTTCCAATTTTCTGCTTTCACATGCAACACTGCTGTGAACATTCTTTTTTAAATTTTATTTTATTTCTCTCAAAACCATTGTAACTGCTGTTAACATTCTTATACAAGCCTCTATGGGCTCAAATAGAGATTCTCTCTAGGGCAGTGACTTTCAAAGTATTGTTCTTTTTTTTTTTTAGACAGAATCTTGCTCTCTCACCACGCTGGAGTGCAGTGGTGCAATCTCGGCTCACTGCAACCTCCACCTCCCGGGTTTAAGCAATTCTCCTGTTTCAGCCTCCCAAGTAGCTGGGACTACAGACATGAGCCACCGCACCCAGCTAATTTTGGTTTTTTGTTTTTTTTTTTTTTTAGTAGAGATGGGGTCTGGTGAAACCCCGTTGGCCAGGATGGTCTCGATCCCTTGACCTTGTGATTCACCCATCTCAGCCTCCCAAAATGCTGGGATTACAGGTGTGAGCCACTGCACCCGGCTCAAAGTGTTATTCTTCAACCTTTAGGGAAATCCTCAAGACCCTTTGAGGGGCTTCATGAGGTCAAGAGTATTTTCACAATAATATGTAAGATATTAGTTACCTTTCTCATACTGGCATCACATTGCTGGTACAAAAGCAACAATGGGTAAAATTGCTGCTGACTTAGCTGAGTTAACACTATCACTAATGAGACATATGGATACCATGTACCTCCTGGTATGATGCACTAACAAGGGAAAAACATCATTTCTATGGTATTCTTGCCAAAAATACATAATCTGAATTTAATTAGGAAGAACCAGCAGAAACAGATTTGAGAGATAATAAGATTGTTTTTCATTACCCTGACACTGACTAAAGACTGAGGAACTAGTTCAGATTGGAAGAGACTACTAAATGCAATGTGTGATCTTGGATCATAAAAAGAGTATTAGTAGGACAATCGATGAAATTTGAATAAGGACTATGGATTAGTTAATACACTATTACCATAGTGTATTAATTTTCTGGTTTTGATCATTGTACTTGGTAAGATATTAACAGCTGAAGAGGATGGGTAAAGGGCAAAAGAAAATTCTTACTAGTTTTGTCATTTTTTTGGAAGACTATAATTGTTTCAAAAAGAAAAGATAATTTTTTAAATTTTAATATTATGCAAACAAATATCAAGTAATTAATATTGAGTAAATCTTGTACAATGTAATAAAATGTCAGTGAACACCAATTATTAAATATTTTGAGGAAAAAAGAAAACACTGAAAGTAATATTATAGTTCTGGGGCAAAGCAACAGCCAGGAGCTTAGAATTTTGTTCAATTCTTTAAAAAAAAAAAAACCTGAAGAATATAAACCGTAGAAATTAAAATATATTTCAACAAGTATTTCACATGAAGGTTGCCTATCCTGCCTCCATCCTGCTCTTAAAATGTTTGTTAAAAGATGAGATGAACAGGATAAACCATTTCATATAACAAATTATGTACAAAATTATCTTATTAAACTAAGATTCTAAGTTACTTCTGAAAAACATCTACTTACATTAAGATAAAATACAACTATTAATATGACAGATACACCCCATACTAAAAACATATAGATAACATTAATATCCCTTCAAAAATCACTGTAGTAAAAGAACTTGTTACACTTTACCCTAGATACTTAAATTCCCTCATAAAGCTACAATTACTGATCCCAAAAACTCCTCCAAATAAGAGTTGTGCTGTAATCCCAGTACTTTGGGAGGCCAAGGCAGGTGGATCACTTGAGGTCAGGAGTTCAAGACCAGCCTGGCCAACATGGTGAAACCTTGTCTCTACTAAAAATACAAAAATTAGCCGGGGGTGGTGGCAGGCGCCTGTAATCCCAGCTACTAGGGAGGCTGAGGCAGGAGAATCACTTGAACCAGGGAGGCAGAGATTGCAGTGAGCTGAGATCACACCATTGCACTCCGGCCTGGGCAACAACAGTGAAACTCCATCTCAAAAAAGAGAGCTGTGGTCAGACTCTAGCTTGAGCCAGAATGACAAAACTTCAAGACTGCAGGTGAAGGAACAAAACCCTATCTCAAGGAAAAAAAAAAAAAAAGAGTATGCAGAAATTAGACACAGGCCTCAAACACTGCTGCTGGCATAAAATATTATCAAAGAGCAATTGGTCAACATCTACCAAAATGTTAAATTATGTGCAAGGTTTTTATGCAGCAATTCTACTTCCGCAGATACTCAGCACATATGCACAAGGATATTTGTACAAGGATTTATTCACTGCATCATTGCAAAGAAAACCTGAAATAATAAAATGCCCATCAATAAAGTACTGGTTAGACAAATTACTGTATCCAATTAGTGGAATACTATGCAACCATGAAACAATGGAACAATCACCAATATAACTTAGTGAAAGAAACAAGAGTGCAGAGGAGTGAATACAGTTTATAATCAGTTGTACTTAAAGGGGGATTAGACTTATTGTATATTCACATACATGCTTGCCATGCATATCCTGTAAGACTATACAAAAAACTGGTAACAATAGCTGCCCCTTTTTGGGCTGCTGAATCTTTTTATTTTCTTCTAGTGATCTACTTACACCCTTTTTAATGTTCAAAAGCTAGCTAAAGCCTGGCCTGGTGGCTGACACCTGTAATCGCAGCATTTTGGAAAGCTGAGGCAGGAGGGGTGCTTGAGGCCAAGACTTCAAGATAATCCCAAGAAAGCGAGACAATTGTCTCAAAAAAAAAAAAAAAAAATTGTTTTAATAAAAATAATTAGTTTTAAAAAGCTAGCTAAGGAACACAATTTTATGAATTACCTGTTCAAAAACTGAGTCGGCTCGTGTTTACTTCTTTTTTATTGCTACTAATAACTATGAGCACATTCCAACATTTGTTAAGCTTTGACAAACTCAGTGTCTTAGAAGCAGTTCATTTAAGAATTCTGAAAAGTAGGCCGGGCACGGTGGCTCACGCCTGTAATCCCAGCACTCTGGGAGGCCGAGGAGGGTGGATCACGAGGTCAAGACATCGAGACCATCCTGGTCAACATGGTGAAACGCTGTCTCTACTAAAAATACAAAAAATTAGCTGGGCATGGTGGAGCGTGCCTGTAATCCCAGCTACTCAGGAGGCTGAGGCAGGAGAACTGCCTGAACCCAGGAGGCGGAGGTTGCGATGAGCCGAGATCGCGCCATTGCACTCCAGCCTGGGTAACAAGATCGAAACTCCGTCTCAAAAAAAAAAAAAAAAAAAAAAAAAAAAATTCTGAAAAGTATCCAATTTTAAATGTGAACTATTTTCTACAGAATCAAGGATAAATAATAACAAAGATGAATCTACATGAAAATGAATCTAATATTTATTTTGTGAAAGTAAGCCTTTGTTCTAATCATTTAAAAACTCTAGAGTCAATAACAGAACCCTAAAATTCACTAATCAAGATTCACTAATTAAGGACCCTGACTCACTGCTGGGTGAATTGGATAAGATCTGGACACCACCTTACTGAGACCGGATGTTAACGTAACAAACAAAAAAAAAAGATCATCAATCAGGTGTCCCCTATGCCGATCTGCCACTTGGAAAAAAGTACTTAACACAAAGAAATGGTTCAGGAGCTCAGGCTGTTCTTCCCTCTATTGGTATAAAGATATATAATTGAACAATTTAGATGAAAAATCATTCCACAGAGTCCCAAGTAACATTCGGCTACTGAACTCCAAGTCATTCCGTGTCACAGGCAGTAAGAAAAAAAGGTATTTCCATAAATCCGAGGTACCAACGGCCCCTAGGCAATTGTAACCGGTCAACTGAGCACCATATGGCAAGGCAAGCCTCCCTTCAAACAGTTATCACTTGGTGGCTGATTAATTTCAATGGCTTATTAGACAGGCCTCTCCAGACCCCTTCCCAAGAGGAAGAGTCAGATTGGGGGGTGGGAGGGCTACGTCTGTTCTCTTCCCGATGCTTTGTGTCTTCCAGGCTTGAAAGCATCACAGTGATGGTGCTGCCATCATTTCCCCTGGGAGTAGAGGGTCTTTTCTGCAAGTTTTTGTTCACCCGTTCTGAACCTAGAATTCCCTTGGCGCTTCCCCTTTCCGCTCACTCCAGCCGGGCGCTGCCCACCAGGTGTCCCACCGCCGGCCCCTCCCCGCGGCCCTGATGCCCACCGCAGCTCGCCCCTTGTCCCCGCGCGCGCAGGCCCGGGCCAGGTGGCGGCGGCTTACCGGTGGGCGCGCTGTCCAGGATGCGCAGGTCGTAGGCCCCGGAGCAGCGGTAGTTGGCAGCAGTGCCGTTGTCCCACACCACTACCACCTCCTCGGGACTCTCGAAGCTCCGGACGGTGCCCACATGGCCCTCGCCGCCGTCCTGCTTCCCCCACTTCCAGTCCGGGCCGCGCACTACCCGAGCGCCGACCCCTTCCACCATCACCCGGTTATTCCGGGAGTTACTCATCGGAGCCCGGGCGGTGGGCTCCGCCGCTGCCGCCGCCGCCGCTGCCGCCGGGGGGCCCGTGAGGGAGTTGGGCCCGGGCCGGACTCTCGGCGCCGGCGGAGGCGGCAGCGAGCCCCGGGGGACGTGGGAATAACTCACGGGGGCGGCGGCGCTGTCCCAGCGGAGCTCACAGCCGCTGCCCAGCCGCGGCCGCCGCGCCCCCCGCTGGGACTCGAGGGCGGCCGGCGGCTGCTGGGAGGCGGCGGCGGCAAGCGGGCAGAGGAGAAGGGGCCGTGGGCGGGGACTCTCCCGCTTCCTCCGGGCTCCCGGGCCAGGATACAGCTACGGCTGCCAGGAAACCACGCTCTCCCCCGGCCTGGAGCGCGAGGAGCGCAAGGGGCCGGGGGAGGCTAGCCCGGGGGGGCGGCGGGGAGCAAGGTTAAATGCCGGCCTTTCTCCGCCCCCGGCCTCTAGCTGGTAGGCGGGCGCCCGAGCGCCGCCGCCGCCTCCCCCGCGGTGGGCGGCGGTGGTACTTCCCGGCGTCCGGCGAGCGCCCGGGCCCTCAGGCCCCCTTCTCTCTGCCCCCGCGCCAGCCGCCGCGCTCCGCCCTGCCACAGAGTCCCCGCCGGGCGAGAGCGGCTCCACATCCGGGTACCGCCGCACCCAAGGCCGGAGCGGCACCTTCTCAGAGTAATGTAAGAGGGGGAATCCTCGGCAATAACAGAGTGAGAAGGGTTTCAGAGAGCCGCGCGATCGCGGGAAGAAAGGAGGAGAAAACTGATCCCCAAGCGTCTCTCCAGGGCCCAATGAGAGTGCGCATGCGCGCGGTCTACAAAAAGGGTGGGTGGAAGCCCAACCCCAGCCGGCGGCGATAGAGGGGCGGGTCCGGGGGCGGGATCCGTGGAGTTGCGGCCGGGTGATGCCGCGCCCCCAATGAGCTGTGAGGAAAGGGGTGGGGCCGTCCTGGAGACGGGGCTGGAGGAAGTGAGGTTGGGGACCAGACCCGTGCTGCCGGAGCTGTGCGGCTGTGATGTGGCTCTCATTGACTTCTAGCGTTCCTAGGCGAACTAAGTGTGAATTGGGGATTTCATATTCGTTCAGTCTTCTTTTTTAACGAAGTCAGAAATAGATTATGCCACAGATCTAGGGCGACCTGTATTTGTGTGTGTGTAAATTGAAAACATTTCAAACCAGAGTAGTGTGTTTTTAAGCTGAATAGCATGATATGGAATGTTGTGAGCAACGGTAAAGCCTTTTAGAGGGTATGCCTTGCCTTTATGCAGAATTAGAGTGGTAGACAGACTCCAAACTTTGCTCATTAATAACTGCTTCCACTCACAAAAAAATTCAGTCCCTAATTGCAAAATATAGTCTTCAAAGGAAGAATAGAAGACTCTAAGAGTAGTTTCTGGTTGCCATAATTCAAATGACATTATGCTGTATAGGGTTTAAAACCATTGTTTCCACGGGCCAGCACTGTTGGCATTGTTAGCATGCATTGTTAGCATAAACTGTGGCATTTCCTGACGGTCAAAGGAGGGAAACCCCAGCAGAATGGGTAATCAAGGCAAAAGACAAAAAACGGGATGTAAAATGTACCCAAAGAATTATTATGTACTGAAATAAAATGTTCTTAATTTCGTTTGTTTGTTTTGAGACAGGGTCTCACTCGTCATCCAGGCTGGAGTGCAGTGTCTCGATCTCGGTTCACTGTAACCTCCCCCTCCTGAGTTCAAGGGATCCTCCCACCTCAGCCTCCTGAGTAGCTGGGACCTCAGGCAGGTACAACCACGCCCAGCTAATTTTTTGTATTTTTGGCAGAGACGGGCAGGGGTGTTGGGGAGGGCTGTCTCACTATTTTCCCTGGTCGGGCTGGTCTTGAACTCCTGAGCTCAAGCAGTCCTCCCACCTTGGCCTCCCAAAGTGTTGGGATTACAGGCGTGAGCCACCTCACCCAGCCCTTTTTATGTGAATAAAGCTAACCAGAAAATACCAATTATGGAGTCCCAAAGTCCAAATAAAGCTTATTTTAGAAACAAAACAATGTTAAAATATTTGCTCAGAGGCCGGGCGCGGTGGCTCAAGCCTGTAATCCCAGCACTTTGGGAGGCTGAGGAGGGTGGATCACGAGGTCAAGAGATCGAGACCATCCTGATCAACATGGTGAAACCCCGTCTCTACTAAAAATACAAAAAATTAGCTGGGCATGGTGGCGCGTACCTGTAATCCCAGCTACTCAGGAGGCTGAGGCCGGAGAATTGCCTGAACCCAGGGGGCGGAGGTTGCAGTGAGCCGAGATCGTGCCATTGCACTCCAGCCTGGGTAACAAGAGCGAAACTTCGTCTCAAAAAAAAACAAAACAAAACAAAACAAAACAAAATATTTGCTCAGAATAAAGTAGCCAAATTTTTTATTTGTGTTTCCAAATATTTCACACTGGAAATTTTAAATATATTATTGCTAGAGCTACTCAACCATTCACTTAAGGGCACTGTTAAGTATTCCTGCTCTCTCAATTCTTCCTACTCTTTTTGGACCCTTTTCTGGTTTCCTTCTTTCTTTGTTCACTTTTAAATTGATCACATTAATGTGTAAGTTAATAAAAGAAAAGATTCAAGAATAACATACAGCCACTGTTAAAACATACTTGTGATTGACTTTGTAAGATACATTAATTCAAGTAAAAGCCAACTGACATGTCAAATCCTTAGTAGTGTAATCTTGCTAGCCTTGCATTTTAAATCAAATGTATCAATAATGTCTTTCCATGTTTTTGGCCCAGAAGTTTTATATTTACTATGGTATAGCCTAATATTAACATAGGCTGTTTTTTTGTTTTTGTTTTTGTTTTTTTTGGGGGGGCAGGGTTGAGACAGGATCTCACTCTGTCACCAGGCTGGAGTGTAGTGGCAGGATCACAGCTCACAGCAGCCTTCTGGGCTCAAGCAATCCTCCCACTCAGCCTCCTGAATAGCTGGGACTACAGGCATGTGCCACCATGCCCAGCTATTTTTTTACTTTTTATAGAGACATAGATCTCACTATGTTGCCCAGACTGCTCTCAAACTCCTGGGCTCACGTCTTCCTCCCACCTCAACCTCCCCAAGTGTTGGGATCATAGGCATGAGCTACAGCACTAGGACAACTATTATATTTAATATCAGATTTTTTTTTTTGAGATGGGGTCTGTCTCTGTCACCCAGGCTGGAGTGCAGTGGCATGATCTTGGCTCACCACAATCTCTGCCTCTGAGGTTCAAGTGATTCTGCCTCAGCCTCCTGAGTAGCTGGGATTACAGGCACAAGCCACCACACTCAACTAATTTTTGTATTTTTAGTAGAGATGGGGTTTCACCATGTTGGCCAGGATGGTCTTGATCTCCTGACCTCATGATCTACCCGCCTTGGCCTCCCAAAGTGCTGGGATTACCAGGTGTGAGCCACCATGCCCAGCCAATATTTAATATCAGATTTTTAATACCAGAATTTTATTTTCCTTTAAGTGAAGTCCTGTACTTTCTTAAACTGGAAAAGGATTTTAGGAAGTAATCTAATCCAGTGATTTTCTTTTCCTTTTTGTTTTCCAACCCTCCCCTTTCCCCAAACCCTTTGTTCCTACCCTATACATTTTATCTATGCTAGGAGCTAGGTACTCTAGATGAGGCAATAAATAGACTTCTCTGACTTACAATGGTTCGACTTTCGATTTTATGATGATGCAGAAGCCATACACATTCAGTAGAAGCTGTACTTTAAATTTTGAATTTTGATCTTGTCCAGGGCTAGAGATGTGCAGTACCATATTCTCTAGTGATGGTGGGCAGCAGGGAGCCACAGCTCCCAGTCAACTGCGTGATCATGAAGACCAGCAAACAGGACTGTACCCTGCACTGGACTGTATTCAATAAGTTACAAAAGATATTCAATACTTTCTTATCAAGTAGGTTTGAGGTTAGATGATTTTGCCCAACAGTAGGTCAATGTAAGTGTTCTGAGCACATTGCGTAGGCTGGGTGTATTAAATGCATTTCAACATAAAATATTTTCAATTTATGTAACCCCATTGTAAGTCAAGGAACATCTGCAGTAAGGCTGGAGCCCACTATCGTCTTCTCTTCCTCCTACCTTTGCAGGAACTCTGTAGGAACTCATCAAAACCACTGGAGTACCACTGAGTATGAGTATGAAAACCTCAAACTAGCTCCATCCTCATACTTGAGATGATGAAAAACAGGCCAAAATCGATTAAGTCCCTTGTCCAGGATTGCAGAGGAAGTTAAGAGATAGAGCTAAGACTATAACCCATCTAATACTGGGCATATTTCTCTGTGTATAAACACTCTCTCATCCATCCATCCCCTTATTAAATATATTGTGAATTTATAACACTATCATACTGCTAAGACTATTTCAAGGACTTTAAATGAATAATTTACCAATGGTCTCCAAATGATTTTTATGACACATCCTTTAAGTACAAATTTTTTAACATATACTTCTAATACATGTACTTAAGTATTATCACATTATACCTGTTGTAAAATATACTCAAAAATATATGAGGATAAGATATAAAATATATAGAAAGCTTTTTATATTTTTTACTCTCACCTTAATAGATCATCTCCCACATCCTTAGATGTTGAATTTTTTTTTTTTTTTGTATTCTCTGAAGTTAGATGCACCTCACTTTGGAGACCGCTGTGTCATACGTGTGCCTGGCAGGTTTAGGCACTAGGAGCCCAAAATCACCTACCATTGTCGCTGCCGCTTTCAAAGTCAGAGTTCCATGAGTGTAGGGCATACCCTGATGCTGCACTACTGGAATTGACCTGCCCGTGTAGTAGGAGTTTAGACGCTGCCAGAAGCTCCATCAGAACCAATAAACAAAAAATGGCTTCTCCTTCCTTTAGTTGATCTCCCATCAGTCTCCTACAAATAACAAGAAGAGCCTACCCTATCAGGTATTAAGCATCATTTTCACTATTCTACCATACTTAAATATCTATATAACAAGGAGATAACTATATCATTTAACAAGATGCAAATAATTCATTTACAATGAAGATACCTTCACCCTGTAAAGAGAAGGTAAAAACTCATAACCATTACCATATCTATACCCAGAAGACACTAATTCCACTTCTAGTTGAGCCACAATCTCAGCTGGATATTCTGTAACCTGCATTATAAAATTAACAACCACCAATAAAATTGACAGCCTTTTGGCGACTAACCAAGAAAAAAGATAAGTCTCAAATAACCACCAACACTTTTTATATAAAATAGGAAGAAAAGCCAAGAACAGTGGCACTGGCCTGTAGTCCCAGTTATTCAGAAGGCTGAAGCAGAAGGGTCACTTGAGCTCAGGAGTTCAAGTCTAGCTTGGGAAATATAGTGAGACCCTCATCTCTGAAAAAAATAATAAATAAGAAAAAATACATAGAAGGAAAAAGAGAGGAGGGAAATAATTGGTTTTATATACAGAAGTGTTTCAGGTTGAATAGTGTCCCCCAAAAAGACATGGTAAAGTCATGGCCTGCAATACATATTAGTATGACCTTATTTAAAAATAGGGTCTTTGCAGATGTAATCAAGTTAAGATGAGGTTATACTGGAGTGGCATAGACCTTAAATCCAATGACTGGTGTCCTTATACAAGAATGGAGAGTGAGATTTGAATAGGCAGACACACCCAAGAAGAAAGCCATGTGATGATGATTGCAGAGATTGGAATAATGCAACTATAAGACAGAAAATGCTAAGGATTATCAGCAATGACCCTGTGACACCTTAATTTCAGATTTCTAGCCTCCAGAACCCATCTCTTCTGACAATGAA